TTCTGTCTCTTGGCTTATGTTAAACACTCTATTTGGAGACTGCATATGTCATAGCTCACTATTCACAGTCTGTCCAGTGAGGCCACTCAGACACGGACAAAGAAGCCACTGCTGGAGACTTGTAGGTCCTGAGAGCTCATGTACCCTGTGCTGCTCCATGTTGCCTGGCCTAGGTGCCCTGTGTGACACAAGGTGGGCTTTAGAGGCAGGGCCTTAGTATTGGGAGTCTCAGTCTTTTTGCTGTTTGAATAGATCATCCATTTGTGAAGTTGATAACCTACTAATCTGTTTTGAAAATGAATTGATGCTAATTTGGCTATGAGGGTTTTCAGTACTTAGGTGAGACAGAAACAGGGTTGTCATTGCCCAAGCTATTTTAGTGTATCAGTTAAGCAGAAACACCAAGTGCTTAATTCATCCAGCAGCAGGAGTGTGTAGATTACAGCACATACAGAGACAGAGCCATTTTCTAGGTCTCTAAGATGGCACAGAGGAAGTAGCAGTAGACAAGCTCCTAAGGGGAAGGATATGGCTCAGGTGCCATGTTAGTTACTTTCTTAATACTGTCACAAAATACCTTGCAAGAAGCAACATAAAGGGGAAGTAGGGTGGATCAGAAAACAGAGATGAGCTCTGGTACTTGGCCCTCATTGGTTTAATTTTTATTTAGTTCAGACTCCACCCCTTGAAATAGTGTGGGCCGTATTTAGGGTGAGTGTGTCGTGACCACTCCCTCCAACCTCCCCATGGCCCTTAAGGCCTACTCAAGGGTGAACTTCACTAATGCTCTAGGTATTTCTTTTTGATAAATCCACTCTTTGTCAACTAAACACCCCAATACATCACTTTATAATCTACTTGGCACTTAAAATTGTTTACCTCATATTCAAAATGCTTTTAGTCTATTTCTGAGTATCATCCCCCTCACCCTCTTCCATCTTAAGAACTCCCACAGTTTAATGTCTAAGTTCAAAGTTTGCTTTGAGACTCAAGACAATTTCTGAATAGTGAATCCCTGTAAAATAAACAAGTTACTTCCAACATACAGTAGCACAGAGTAAACATACCTGCTTTAAAAAGGGTGGAATTGGTGCACAGCAAAGAAAGATTAGACCAAAGCAAGATTAATGACCTCTAGCAGGGCAGAAACCAAATCCTACTGCTCCATCTCCATGTCTGGTGTCAGAGGTTCTTGATATCATTTGGGCCCTGGTGGCCTCAGGTAGTCCAACCCCACAGTTCTGTTTCCTGTGGTGCTTGTGGTCTCTGTGTTGGCCAGTAGTTGGTGCCTGCAAGCTTTCTTTGGGGAACATTCAACATCCCACCTTGCTGGCATCTCTAATATCTGGGAGTTTTATTACAATATAGCCTCCACCTTCTCAACTTCTCAAGGCCTTCGTACAAGGAATCTGATATTGCCATCCATTGCTTTGTTTCAGTGGCTTTCTGGAATCTTGGCACAAGTTTCCATTATTCCCCTTACATCTTGCAAATGTGGATGCCATCACCAAATTTGGCTGCCAACTCCAGGGGAAACCAGGCACACTTAGACCATCGTTGCATCCAGTTTTGTGTGCTTTTGTGGCTGAAACTGGAAAACATCTCCAGTTTCAGGGAATCCTGAAGGATCTGGATTTTCAAACATTTTCCTTTCAAATGGATTTGCATTTTTATACCCCAAGTTCTCATTTCTAGGAACAATACCAATTATCCCAATGCAAGGTCTCAGACATCCTTCAGTGGCATTAAATTCCTTTAACAACTACAGCCAGTTTATCCAAATCTGCCCTGCTCTCAATTTGGTCCAATCTCCATTTTCCACATTTCTCTGCACCACTTTCTACTTGTTCTCACTGTAAATCTGGATAAACGCAATGAACAATAAATGTCACAGCCTGGCTATTAGGTTGCCTTGAAATTTCCTCTGCCTAACAATTTAGCCCATTACTTTTGAAATTCAGTCTCACTCAAGTTTTCAGAATGCAGATAAAACAAGCTAGAACTGTTTTGGGGATTCCACCAAAGAAGACCACTCAGGCCCAGTCAGTAGCCAACTGAAGGTCTTTACTCCATCCTGCTGGGACTACACTAAGGTATTTGAGACTCAGATGTAGGGCCGAATGTATAGAGCAGTAGTTCTCAGCCTGTGAGTCGTGGTGACCCCTTTGAGGGTTGAAAAACCCTTTTCACAGGGGTCACATCTCAGATATTTACATTAGGATTCTTAACAGCAGCAAAATTACAGTTAGTGAAGAAGCAATGAAAATAATTTATGGTTGGGGGTCACCACAACATGAGGAACTGTATTAAAGGGTCACAGCATTAGGAAGGTTGAGAACTACTGGTTTAGAATAAGGTTTTTTGTTTTGTTTTTCTGGGTTTTCGAGACAGGGTTTCTCTGTATAACAGCACTGGCTGTCCTGAAACTCACTTTGTAGATGAAACTGGCCTTGGACTCGAAGAGATTCACCTGCCTCTGCCTCCTGAGTGGAGTAAGGTGCTTTTAAAGACAAAAACCACATCTTGTTACCTTAGCCAGCAGCTACAGAGCAAAGTTTTGTGCAAGTAAGCAGTTTAAAAGCAATTGGCTGGAGGAGGAAGTCTTACACAGGCTTCAACAGAAGCTAAGTTAGCTGGGGCATCTTGACCTCAGGTTCCTAGAATAGAGTAATGGCCCCTGGGGCTGCCTGTCAAGGAGACCAGAATCTAGTTAAACCTAAAATGGCCTCAGCAAGGATGCAAGGTAAGCCAGGCAGTGGTGGTGCACACCCAGCACTTGGGAGGCAGAGGCAGAGGCAGAGGCAAATGAATCTCAGTGAGTTTGAGGTCTACAGAGTGAGTTCCAGGACAGGCTTCAAAAGCTACACAGAGAAAACCCTGTCTTGAAAAACAAATACAAAAATACAAGATGGAGGAAACTGCACTGTCCTGTCCTGTCATAGAATATGACATGAGTGGTTGCCAGCCCAGTTTCTGATACAGTCCTCTTGTTCCCTCTGAATAAAACTTTGTGAGCAGTCTTTAGTGACAGTGTTCCTCGGCCTTTTGGTCTTCTGGATTCTCCGTAGGAGTGTTTACAGCATTCTAGGGCTAGTCTAGCTCACAGCTCTGAGCTCTGGCACTTTTCTCCTTAAGACTAGTTCTAAGCCACATTGTTGTGAACTGCCACGCCCAACCCCCATCTTTTTAATAACAATAAGAGGTGGGAATGTTGGGAACTAGCAGCCAGCTGACCCCCGCCCCCGACGTTGGGCGGGTCGCTCATGGCCTTGTCATCGCTACATCAGCCTTACCTGGCCTGGCAGCTCAAGCTTTACCTGGCTGCCAGAGGACTCAGTTACGCATGCGCAAGCCCCCCTTTTAAAGCAAGCACACCAAGTGCGCCTCTCTTGCTCCCGCTCTTGCTCTCCCTCTCTGGTCTCTCTCTCTCTCTCTCTCTCTCTCTCACTCACTTTCAGTTGGCCACCAGCTACCCCCTCTTTCTCTCCCCTCTCTCAATAAACTCCACGTGGGTGCTGAGTCTCCTGTTTGTGTTTCTTAGGCATTAGCTTCAGCAAAAGAACAACACACATGGTTAGGCCTATTGCAACACCACTATACAGCTCTACTTTCCCATTCTGTTTTCTTGCTGATGTGATCAGTGCTTGAAAAAAAGCAACTTAAGGGAACTTTATTTTGTCTCAGGTTTGAGGGGTTACAGTCAGTCATGGTGGGGAAGCAGGGTAGCAGGCGGCTCCAAGGCAGCAGCGGTGTGTGGCAGCAGGTGCTTGCTGGAGCCTCAGCTGAACAGGAAGCAGAGAGGGACAGAAGTCAAACTAAGCCCTAAGTCTCAAGAGCCACCTCCATTCCCAAATGTCCCACTTGTTCCTGCTAGGCCTCATCTGCTGGAGGTGACCACGGACTGTTGGGGCACATTTCACATATAAACTGTCCCAGGGAATGGTGGCTGCCATTCCTTTGGATGTGTTAGAATAAGAACAGAGTTTCTCTCACACCCGGCAGCACAGCAGGGCGCAGTGTGTCCTGGAGGCTGACGTGTGTGTGTGTGTGTGTGTGTGTGTGTGTGTGTGTGTGTGTGTGTGTGTGACATTTGGGAATGGAGGTGGCTCTTGAGACTTAGGGCTTAGTTTGACTTCTGTCCCTCTCTGCTTGTGTAACTGGAGTAACAGACCCTTCGGTACTTTTTAAAATGTTAAATGACACGAACCTAATGCTTCAAGTCTTTGAGTTCAGCAGATGTGTGAGGAGATACAGCTACAAATCTGTACTTAGGGTCCCAGAGAGACTTTCCTAGTAGGAACATGTTCCAGCGTGCCACATCCCAGGAGCCCCTTTGAACCCATCATGGGAAAGCAGTTGCGCAAACAAGAAGATGCTGAACATCTATCTACCTGGTAGCTCTGCAATGAGGAAGAACAGATTTCCTGGCAGTGAGTCTGATTGGTTTGGTCACAGAAAGGGTGGGATATCGCCCGGGATGAGGACTTCATCCTTCCTTTATGACTCCAAGGTACATTTGTAAAGTGTCTTTTCAAATCACCATGATCACTTGAAAAGCCAGGTGTAGTGGTGCACGCGCCTTTAATCCCAGCACTTGGGAGGCAGAGGCAGGCTGATCTCTGAGTTCGAGGTCAGCCTGGTCTACATAGTGAGTTCTAGGACAGTCAGAGGTACATAGTGTGTGCTGACTTCAAGTTTCACGCACTTGCACAGACACTAATGAGTAACGTGCCAAATGCAAAGAACAGAGTCTCATCCTGGAACAATCCTTGGGCACGATTCGCAGGATCCTTCAAAGAAGGACCACACGAAGAGCTGTGCGCGCGTTGGGGCGCCGCCACACGGCGTGAGGAGCTTCCGAACACCAGCCGGGGCTGGCGGCGCTGAAGGTGAGGCCGACCGAGGTGGTTCCGTCAGCCCGGGCCCTGCCTGAAGCCGCGAGCGTCAGGCGAGACTCATCTGGCCCCAGCCTCACACCACGTCGCCACGCCACGTCACCCGCGCGCGCCCCGGACGCACTTGTGGCTCGAGGCAGCGCCCCGGAAGTAGCCGTGGACGTCGGAGCAGGCGGGCGGGACCGGCGCGGATGTGGCGAGGCTGCTGAACGCAGGTTCCGCGGTATGGCGGGGACGGCGCTGAAGAGGCTGATGGCCGAGTATAAGCGTGAGTCGGGCGGCTCCCGCCTTCCGGTCCTCTTCTCCGTAGCCTACCGCGGCGTCCCCCGGCCATGCTCACACTGGCCCGGCGGGGCGTGAGCGTGCTGGGCCGGCCCGAAGGAGCCGCGTGCGGGAGGCCGGGTTGCCTCTGTCGCCTGTGTGCCCCGGCCGGCTGCAGCGGGTCTGGCCCTGGGCTCAGATGCTGGCTCGGCCGGCGTGGTCATGGTCCTGCGACCCGGACCTGGTCCCTGAGTCCCTGTGGGCTTGCGCATCTGCCCTCCCGACAGTTGATGCTGCGGGGCGGTGCTCAGCGAGGACCGGGTAGTCCCTGTAGTGTGGTCATGAGGCAGGGTTCAGTTTGGGGAGAAAGTTGAAAGTGAGCAAAATGACTTAGACCTCCCGCCACGCTGTAGGTGAGAGTTGCCGTTAGGCTGGATCGAACCAAAGCTTCGCAGACACAGACTGGCTTGGGGACTTGTGAGGACCATTTCCTTTCATCCGGATCTGTCTGTGTTTCTGTTTTACTTTTCATTACCGTTTATAGGCTTAGAAACATCATCTCTTTTACTAAAAAGAGAAAAAGAGAGAGAAAAAGAGAGGGGAAAAAGCAGCATTCAGGCATTGAGAGAGGCATCCAAGGGCCAGCAGTTTGTACTTGGCTGTGCTTTTTGAACTTAAAGAGTATTCATTCACATTGGAGAAAATTTTATTTCCCATCTTCTGTCCTCACAAAAGCCTCAAACATTATTTCAACCATATTGTCAATTTAGTTTGCAGTTAAGATCATGGGTTATCAAAAGTTTGGGAGAGGGAAAGAATTTGCTTAAAACAGTGGATCCTAAAACAGGAAGACAGAAGAGGAGGTCAGGGGGTTTACAGGTGAGAGGGCGCCACCTGAGGTGGCTACTTGGGAGAGAAAAAAGAGCAGGCAGCTAAGGGCATCGGGCTGGCAGCCAGTCTGGGACCAGTGTTATAGTCATATGGAACTGAGTTGTGCCAGCGACTTGAATGGACTTGGGTTGCAGCCCTGAAAACTGCCCCAGCTGTCCTGGCTGAGCTCAGAGCCACTGCCACATGGAAACCATGAGGTCATCAATGGATATTGTTTAAGACTGTGGCCACAGTGACAGGAAATGCATCCATCAATACTGAGCATGGGAAGTGAGGACTTTTTTTTTGTTTTCATGTCCCTGTAATTCGATAAAGTCCCACTGAGTGTGTCACTTCTTGTATGGCTTAGCATCTGGTTTGTCCTTGTGTTTAGGACTGTGTACTCCAAAGTTAGGTAAACTCATCAGGAATGGCCATGGATGGGCTAGAGTGTATGCAGATTTGGGTAGGTCTTCAAACATACCTGATTGGAGACCTTCAAACATACCTTCAAACATACTGTGGATTGAGAGATGATGTAGTTTAGTGTTTAGATTTTACTACTTTATGTGTTTGAGTGTTTTGATTGCATGCATGTAAGTTTATCACATGCGTGCCCGGTGGTGCCAGTGGATGCCAGAATAGGACCTTAGATCTCCTAGGACTAGAGTTACAGCTGTTTTTGAGCCTTTGTGGGTGCTGGACTAGAACCTGGATCTCCTGCAAGGACAACAAGTGCTCTTAATCTCCGAGTCCTCTCTCTAGCCCTGTTGTTTTTTTTTTAGGCCCCCTAGTTTTATATTTAAATTTATAAATTTAAATTTTATAGAAGTTGAATAACATGCAAAACAATTCTGTTGTGCTCATGTACCAAAAAAGACCTAGTAAAGAGCTTAAATGGCCCTCTTGTTCACTCTCATTCTTGTACAAGTGCACTTGCCTGTGCATGCAGAGGAGGAAGGATATTGGATGTCCTGCTCTGTCACTCTCCACCTTCATCCCTTGAGACAGGATCTCTCACTGAATCTGGAGCTCATCGATTCAGCTAAAATGGCTGCTCAGTTAGCCCCAGAAATCCTCCTGTTTGCACCCTTGCCTCCAGCTCTGGGGTTACAGGCACACATAGTAAATAAAGCCTACCTCTTTTGCATATGGGTTCTGCAAGAGCATTGTGTGCTCTTGTGTTATATATTCCCATGGCTTCTGTGACAGACACAGGGAGCAGTGGCCCAGAGCTGCTGCAACAGTGTCACCACCTGGATGGCTTACCATAACAGAAGCCATCTCACATTGGAGGTAGAATTAAAACTCCAGGTGTGGGCTGGGCTGTGATTCTTGGCAGGGTGGTCTCTGGGGGAAGGTCTTTTCTGTCCCTCAGCTTCTGGAGTGCTGGCTGCCTTGGATTCCTGAGCTGTTAGTATAACTCCTCTCCTGTACCTTCCTTGGCCATCTTATCCTGGGTGTGTGGGTACTCAAATCTCCCACTTGAGAAGTCAGCAGTGTTGGTTTAGGGCCCAGCCTAGTCAGTAGGCTCTCTAAGTCTGGTACTTCTACCGAGATCCTGTTCCCAGGCAGTGTCACTGTTCCCGAGTGTTTTTAAATTGCAGTTATTTTTATGTATTTATGGTCATGTGAGGAAATGAGGACAACTGGCAGGAGTCTCCCCTTCTACTATGAGCTCCTGGGGAAGCTTGAGCTTGGGTTGCCAGACCTGGCAGCAAGCATGTCTGCCCATTAGTCATCCATGGGCTCCAATGTGAGGCAATACATTGTACATAGCAGGGGCCATGAAGCAGAGCAAAGTTGTTTACCCAGAGACCAGAACACCAAAGAAAAGCAGTGGAAAGGCTGGACCCCTGTGCCCCCTTTAAGGGTCTGCTCTCAGTGACTAGCTCTCCTTTCTTCTCTGTTTCCTGCTCAGCACAGTTGTTTGGAGATGTGTCTGTGCTGTTGGATTGGTGTAGTTGGCCCCTTACACTTACAGCAGCAAGTGATGAAGTAAGGCAGGTAGTTCCAACTATTGTGTAAAATTCTGGAGTGAGATTTCACTGTAGTTCTCTGAATAGCCATTTCAAATGGGAATTTCCGCTGATATTTTATTTTCAGACGCTTCTGTTGAGCCTGAATATCTACAGATCGGGGGCAGTGATTGTTGCCTTTCTTTTTTAAAGTTTTTTTTTTTTTTTAATTCCATGTGTATAGTCTTTTGTCTGTATGTATGTCTGTGTACCATGTGTGAGCCTAGTGTCTGCAGAAACCTGAAGAGGTAGTTGGATCTCATGGAAATGGAGTTACAGACAGTTGCAAGCTGCTGTGCAAGTGTTGGGAACTGAACCTGGGTCCTCTGTGAGCGCAGCCAAGTGCTCCTAAGTGCTGAGTCATTTCTCTAGTCCAAGGCTGTTCCTTTTTAATATAGGATGGTAATCCATTGCATGGCCAGGCTACACTGTTTAAACATTTGCTTCCTGACGATCATTGGAATGTTTCCCGTTTTTGGCTGTGATGAGACCTGCTGTGAACATCGTGTGCTTGACTTCATTTCTCTTGCATAAATGCCTGTGCAGTTTTAGAAGGGACTGCCCAGCTGTTTGACGTCACTGTCTGTTCTCACTGGCACAGATGCTCCACAGCTCTGCCTAGTTTTTGACTTTTCCTCCTTCCTGTTCAGCTTGTATTAGTCTCTTCAGTGGCTTAACTTGAAATTGTCTTATAACTGACAGACAACAGTGAGTTAGTGCAAGCTTACTGACCATCTGGCTTTTTTGATGAAATATCTAGTGTTTATTTTTTTTTAAGTTGTGTTGTTTCCTTGGGTTGTACATTTCTTTAACATTGGCTTTTTATTGAATATTTGTCTTGCTGCAAATATTTTCCCTTCTTGGCTTGACTCCATGTTTCATCTCCCCAGTCTAGTGGTTCTTTTAACTTAAAACTTTTTAAGTTTATTTTATTTTTATTCACATGTAAATCTCTGTGTATATGTGCATGTGGCACAGACCCTGTGGAGGCCAAAAGAGGGTGTGGGGTCCCCTTGGAGCTGGGACGTTGGTGCTGGGTGCCCTGCCTTTATTCTTCTGAAAGGGCAGCAAGTGCTCTGAGGTGCATAGCCATTTCCTAATCGATGCCTTTTAAACAGCTGATTTAAAAAAAAATCAGTGACATATACATTGGCTTTTAAAATATTCTTGCTTTTGTGTCCATTTGAGAAGCTGTTGAGGTTTTCTGCTAGGATTTCTTCTAGGTACAGTTAAAATCTGTAATCCATTTCATAGTTTTGTGGGAGAAGATGTCAGGGTTCCTTTGCTTATTATCTGGGAGTGTCCCAGGTGTGTCGGTTTGCTAGAGCTGCTGTGCCTTAGACTAATACAGGCAGGAGAAACTGATTTCCTTGCAACCCTAAAGGCAAGATCTCCAGTTAGGGTGTGGGACAGGCCTGTTTACCTGACTTCAGCGAAAACACAGACAGGTTGGGTTAGGACCTGGCCCAGCGTCCTCACTTGAACCGTAGTTGCCTCTCCACCTGGTTGTCTCTGTTCAGCATGTCCTGTGCAGTGTGTAGAACATGCTGATATGACCCCTGGAGTTCCCTGGGTTTCCATTGTAGACATTGGAGCCTTTGAAGGAGTAGCCATTGCAGCTATATTTTCTTGATTTCACCATTTTATCAGTGTGATAGGTTCTGGAAATGGAATCATTGAACAAATTTGTGTTTTGTTTGTGCAGTGGCTACTTTTTAAAGCTATTTTAAGAAAAGTAGTTTTTCACAAATTACCATTTTCAGGGACTAATCTTTGAAAATTTTCAATATGGTTAGTAATTGTTTCTCTTCTGGGATTTATGATCAGGGAACTGTGTGGTTTTGTAGGTGTGTGTTACCAAGCCTTTCTGACGTTTACTTCAGTTCATCATTGACCAGCAGGTGTCACTGCTGGATAGCAAAGAGGGTGGGATAGGGCTGGCTGCCTGGAGCCTGGGTCTCCAGCATTGCTGGTCTCCAGCTGCAGGCTCCCTTCTCTCTTTAAAGGAAAGGGGATGTCCCAGGGAAGTCCCAGCAGGGTTGCCTACAAAGAGTACAGCTTTGCTGTTTTTTGCTCTAGATACCCTTTGTTCTACAGCTTTGTGCCTCTTCTTTAGCCCCATGTTTTAGCAGCTCAAAATCATCTGCCTCATTTATTGTTTTCATATAATCAGGGGTGATGGGACTAGATTTCAGATGACTGAGAGTGTAAAGACTTGGCTAGCTGGTTCTGTTACTTTTCCGGATCTGTTCCTGTGAAGGGACACAGAGGGAGACCTCTTCATGTCTGCCTCCTCCTCTCCTTGAAGTGTGCGCACATCTGACTGAACAGCCTGTGTTTGCCTGCACACCACATGTATACAGTGCTAGAAGAGGGTGCTGAATCCCTTGGAAGTGGAGTTACTGACAGTTGTTAGCCGCCATGTGGATGCTGAGTCCCTGAAAGAGCCATGACTCTCTTAACCACTGAGACATCTCTCCAGCCCCTCATCCACCCTCCTCCCAATATTTTTAATTACATTTACTTGTGTGTGTTGGGGGTGTGGATGTGTCATGTACCATGACATTCATGTGGATGTCAGAGGACAACTTGTGAGATCAGTTCTTCCTCTCCTTCACGTGGGGCTTGGGCTTCAAACTCAGGTAATCCAGCTTGGCAGCCAGAGCCATCAGTGGCTTAATTTTTTCTTAATAATATCCTCTGTTGTGTGTCTTTCAATTTAGCCCCTTTTCCTTTTCTGGGGTGGTAGCTAGAGGCACTCAAGATGGTCTGGTGTTGAGTTTTACCTTTGTAGGCTTTTCTACATTACAGCCTGTAGGAAACAAAGGCATCCCAACCCTGGGGAATGGCTGTCTGTCTTCTGTTACGTGAACAGAGTCTGCATGGTGTGTCCTAGAAAGACTGGTCATGTAGGACTCAAGTCCCTTTTGAGATTGTGTGCAGCCCTAACCAAAGAAAGCTCCGGCAGGGTCTGCCATGGTGTCCTGTGAGAGGAATGTGTCCATGACAGGGTGTGCTTATGGAATTGGGCGTTCCTTCCTCCTCCCTTCCTTTTCTCCTTTCCCTCTTTCTCTTCCTTCCTCTCCCCCTTTCCTCAGCTTCCTAGGTGTAACATACAGGGGAGGCAGTGGTGTGGGCAGTAAGAACTATTCCCTGCCGTGAAGCTTTTAAAGTAAAATTAAGATTTGTTTTGTGTTTTGTTTTCCCTTCTAGCTGTCATCCTGTTAAGAGTTTCCATGTCTCTCTGTGTTCCTGTATTTTCTCTTCCAGAACGCACTTTCTAACTGCACTTGTGCAGAAGGAAGCCAGTTCACATGTGGATGTTGACCTCATAGCAACTTTGAACAACTTGCCATTTCTTACTGGCTTTGGATTTCTTTGGATGATCAGTTTCCATTCTTTGTGTCTGGTCCTTTTGCCTTAATCTCATTTGGTAGAGATTTCTTAATTTCTGTTCCCCCCCCCCCCCCAGAGACCACCATTTGGCTCTGTAGGTCTTTTTTCTTTTTTAATTTATTTACTTATTTTTATTACATATTGTTCTGTCTGCATATCTACCTATACACCAGAAGAGGGCACCACATCTCATTACAAATGGTTGTGAGCCACCATGTGGTTGCTGGGAATTGAACTCAGAACCTCTGGAAGAACAGCCAGTACTCTTAACCTGTGAGCAATCTCTCCAGCCCCTGGCTCTGTAGGTCTTTTGTGTACTTGCTGTTGCCATCTTGATTTCCCTGGCACTCAAAGAGCAGAGTGCATTCTGTCCTGATTTTCTTCCTGCGTTTGACTGTCCTCTGATGACTGCTGCCTTCTTCCTTCCATTCACCATTTTTCCAAGTGTGTCCACAGGTTTGGTGTTTGTTCAAACAGGTTGTATTCATCTGTTGGTCATTGCCACAACAATGTCTAATATGGTAACTTTATTAAGGTAAATGTTCATTTGAGCACAGTGGTGTACACGTATAAACCTTGTGAGGCAGAGACCAGAGGTTAGCTGCAAGTTTGAGTCCAGCCTGGGACATAGTGGGTCTGTAGGATGACGATGGGTGGCCACCATTGTGGTGACTTTAGTGGCTTGAGTGCAGGATTGTATGTGAGGATTTGATCACACTCTGGTGTCATCTACCCAGTGTCACACACACTACCTCATGCCCCACCTCTTAAAGGTCATGTTTTTCCCCACCCCAGTACTGCTACCCAGCTTCCAACACTTGATTTCTAGGGACACACTCCAGACTGGAACATGACCTAGATACAAATCACAATGCCAAGAATTAACATGACACTGAGTCTTCAGAAGCTACTGGCCTTAAGTAGCTGAGATTCTGTAGTAGGGCATTCATTTGGGCACAGAGAAATGCCCTCTTGGAAGAAATGCTGTATCCTAGTTCATAGGATTCATGAAGTTCTTTGCTAAGTGACAGTGTAACACACTTTCTCTCTGGTAAAGTCTCTGTTCTTTAACTTTACAGAATTAACCCTGAATCCTCCAGAAGGAATTGTGGCAGGTAAGGGGCTTGAGTGACTTTATTATGATTTTCTTCCAATTGCCCAAGTTTCCTTCTAATTAAGATATGGAATATTTTTTTCTATCCCTGCAGGCCCCATGAATGAAGAGAATTTTTTTGAATGGGAGGCATTGATCATGTAAGTTAATCGTGTGGATTACTTGTTGTTTGTTTGTTTTGTTTTGTTTTTCATGCTTTACTGGAAACTAGGCTTAAGAATCTCTAACTCTGAAATGTTGACTGGGTCCAAGTGGGCTTTGTAGTTTTCTGATGTTCTCTGGGCAGAAGCCAGATGAACATGAATTCAAAGGAGATGACAGTATGTCCTTAGCACCAATGAAAGGTTTAGTTGGGAATATTAGCTCTGGATAGTTTCAATTTCAAAATGATTTTTATTGTGTGGCTCTGTTAGGAAGTAGCAATACCTTACTTATCCCTTTGCTTTCTCGCCATAGACAACAGAAAGCTCTGTGTCCCCTGAGCTGTGGGGTTTCTCCTCACCAGAACAGCATCCAATGCAGTCATGACACTGTCTGGAGAGTGACAGGTCCCACAGGCTGAGGCTTCTGTCCCCAGGACAGCCTCTCTTCAGGCCTAGTCTGAGTGGCTGAAGGTTCTGACTAGCTACAAGTTGGGGTTCATATGATTCCAGCATTATGGCAGCCCCCTAAAAGGGAGATACTTTACTCACCTTATAAAGTTTCTTTATAGAGTGCTTTTGCTTTGCTTTTTTGGAGTATGAGAGTTTTGCTTAACTGTGTGCCTGGTGCCTGTGAAGGTTAAAAAGGTGTCAGATTCTCTGGAACTAGTTATAGACTGTGCGTACTGGTACTCCGTAGCTTGTGGTGAGTTCTTCTTCCTATGAGCTGGCACACATGGGCTGGCCACAGGCTCCAATCCCATCTTGTAATGCCACTCTCTCCTTCCCCTGATGCCTGCTCATGGCATGTGACTCTGATACACCAGCTGGGCCTGTCTCGTCACTTTCTTGAGCTCCCTTTGTACATTACTTCCTCAAGGTCATGAGCCGAGACTCTTCTAAAAGCACAAAGTCAAGTCAGAGGGCAGTTTGTCTAAATGCTGAAGGCCTGACCCTGAAGAAGGACTTAGAAACCAGGAACCATGGTCAGAAGCTTAACAAAACAATAAATGTGTATATTTATCAGTGTATATCTAAAAGAAACAGTATCAGCTCAGGATGCCCAAGACCAAGTTCTTAGCACAAAGATTTATTTTCCCAGAGAGACAGAGACAGGAGACAGAGGGTGAGGGAGAAGGGGGAGGGGCATCGATATTTGTCCTGGAGGGACAAAAGACTGCCTCTGGATGGAGAGGAGACAGACATGGCACCTAGGAAAATGGCAGTTTATGAAGGTACATGAGGAAACCCCATGTTAAGATGAGGTGCTTAATTTTAATTGGGTGTGTTAATTAGGTGAGCCAAATTAAATTAGGGGCTTTTGATGGTGGACTTCAATACTGGACCTTGGTAGTCAGCCTCAAGAGGAGGAAGTAGCTAAATAAGGGAATAGACCTTGGTAGCTAGCTTTAAGAATGTAATCTAATGTGTTTTAGCAAGGCAAAGGAAATTGGGAGAAAGGTCAGGGCCTGCCAGAGCCACATGATTAGGTGTGGTAGTGTCTCTTCAACATTTATCTCCCATATATGCAGTGGTCATGATGAAATTTCCTCAAATACTGTGGGTAGCTTTTCTAGGAGGAAAAAGGTCATTAAAATAGTAGGTGACCAAATGCACCTCCCGGAGCAGCATTAGACTTTCTCCTCGTACCCTGCTTCTGGTTCTCATTTCACTGATGGCCTTCTCTGGCTTGCAGGCCTTCCCCTGTGGTCTTGAGTATGATGTGGCTTATTCCAAAGTGAGTTTGTGTCTCCTATCCCCAGTCTAGAGTTTGTGATATTAAACACAAAAGAAAGAGAAACAGAGGGACCCTGAATGTAGAGTGTTCTCTGGTCCATACTCAGCCTGCTTAACAATCTTCTGAGGAAGCTGCACTCTGATCAGTTTCTCAGTCAATAAGAATTTCCAATTAACTACAGTGTTTCAGTTTGGATTTTCTTGGTTGACAAGTACTCTGGGGGACAGGAAAGGGAAAGAGGTTTGGCTATCCAGGTGTGAACTCTGAGCAAGGCAGGATTTGTTTATGTGTGTGCTTACAGCACCATCCCTGTGTCCATCTCCACCTCATCCCCAATACCAGAGCCTTGTACATGTTACCAGAACCGCATCACCTATGCCCAAGCCCTTTTAATTTTGACACAGGGTTTTGCTAAATTCATCAGGTTGGTCTTGAACTCACTCTTGTGCTTCTGGAAAGGCCTTGAACTTTTGATCCTTTTCCCTTAGCTTGCTGAGTAGCTAGTATTACAGGCCTAGCACATTAGTTCCCAAAGGTCTACAAGTCGGCCTAGGAAAATTACTGGTAATTTTTGCCTATGAAGGTTAGAACATGCATGAAAGCTGAGTGAAAGTGAGGGTTTTTGATTTTCTTTTTTAAGTCATCCATAAACACTAACTAGAGAAAGTGTAGCAGATCCAAAGTTTGTCAGACCTTAATTTCTTCAACTGTGTCAAATTTTTTTCTAAGTTTTCTGGAGCCTATGCATCATGGTACACTTGAGCCTTGTGTACTTGAGGGATCTGTTCCGAGTTTCTGGTGGATGCTGGAAATCTTGGGCTCTAACAATAATAAGAGGTAGTAAAATGGAAAAATTGGCCAGCATGGTGGTGGCACACGCCTTTAATTTCAGTACTCAGGAGCTAGAGGCAGACAGATCTCTGTGAGTTCAAGGCCAGCCTGGTCTACTATTGTGTAATATTAGTTTAAGATGTGTTAAATTCGTTTATGCTGTGGAATATTTGTTTAATTATGCAAAGATGAGTTGCATTTGTTTAACTCTGTGAAGCTGGGTTACTTTGCCTTCCTAAAATGCCTGGTTGGCCTGATAAAGAGCCGAACTGCCAACAGTTAGACAGGACAGAGAAATAGGCAGGGCTGCCAGGCAGAGAAAATAAAATCTAGGAGAGAAGAAGACCAAGAAAAGAGAAGGAGAGGATAATGCCACTGGCCAGCCACCCAGCCACACTGCCAGAGGCAAGAGGTAGTTAAAAAGAAAGGGGATAGATAGGAAAGCTGGTTAGAAACAAGCCAAGCTAAGGCCGGGCATTCATAAGTAAGAATAAGTTTCTATTTATTTGGGAGCTGGGAGGCAGGCTTCCAAAGAGTAAAAAACAAAACAAAACAAAAAATTACATTCTATAGAGTGAGTTCCAGGACAGCCAGGGCTGTTATACAGAGAAACCCTGTCTTGAAAAACCAACCAAAACAATAACCAAAAACAAAACAGGAAAGTTGATAGTATTCTATATCGCAAGTTATTTAAAACTTAGGAATTCTTTCTGGAACTTGCTGATTGTTAGCAACAGGTGTTGGTGAAGCCAGGTAAGAGGAAGGGTTCTGTTGCTTTTTGGTGAGATGATCCAGGCCTGCGGCCATTGCTGCCCCTAGCCAGGTCATTGCTGGGGGCTGTGTCAGGTGGAGCTCTGTTTATCTTTCTCCTCACTCACTTTACAGTGCTGGGGATCAAACTGCGGGCCTCCAGCCATTTCCCCAGGCGTTGTTTGCTTTTAAAGAAGCAGGTGATTGTGTGTGTGGTGTGTGTGTGTGTGTGTGTGTGTGTGTGTGTGTGTGTGTGTGTGTGTGTGTGTGTGTGTGTGAACTGATGTGTGACCTGTTTGTTTCATCTGCCATGTCCTATGTCAACACAGACACACCTGTGCTCGCTCACATGCCATCACAGCCACACCAGCTGTAGGAGCAGCGCTTGTTGGGAGGCCTGCAGAGGTCAGGGCATTTGATGAGCCTGAATATTTGGAAGATGTTGACTTATATGTGTCCATAGTAGATGGCTTTAGGAGCTAGCTCATTAAAGAACAGTTTCGCTCTCTAGTATGGATTTTAAAAAGTGCCATTGTTAAAAGTCTGTTGAGTTAACTATAACTAATTTTAGATAAACAGTATAAAGTTAAACAAATATTTTGAAAACCTGTCTTAAAAAGTAATTACAACTGATTTTCAGGAGAGCACGTTTGTGTTTGAATAAGGCTTTTGCGTTAGTGTGGAATTCCCCTGCTTCAAGATCTAGTGACTTTGTGGGTTTTGGTCCTGTTCCAGACCCTTCACAAACAAGAGGCGGTTTACGAATGTTCTTAAAACATCTATCAAGGAATTAACTGTCCTCCTGTGGCTTTGTCTCACCCTGCTGTTTTGGCAGAGAGCTGGCTGGGCTTTTATTCCTCGGTGACTGGGGACTCTCCTGGCTTCGAGGGCCTCCTCTGTCCCTGGTGCTTTTGGACACTGCTTGCCTCCTGGAAGCCTGATGCTGCTGGCTATGCTATGCCATGGCCCTGCCTGCATGACCTCTCCCTCTTGACCTGTGCATGGTGCAAGCACTGAGGGCGTTGATAACTGGGTCCTTGTATGCAGATGCAGATACATCATTAGCTGTGTTGTCAGCTTTTCATCATGGTCACAAAATACCCAAGAAAAACAACTTAGGAGGAAGGGACGATTTTAGCTCACAGTTCCAGAGGCTTCAACGCGGTGACGTGGTTCGCTGTTTTTGGAGCTGAGGTGAGGTAGAATATCATGTTTGAGCATCTATACAGGAGGAAGCTGCTTATCTCATGGTGGCCAGGAAGCAGGAAGGGAGGAGAGGAGTAGCCAGGGATGAGACACACCCTTCAAAGTTACTTCCAGTGACCCATTTCCTGCAAGCAGGCCCCACCCTTCAACAGCCGCATTCAGCTATGAGCCAATACTCAGTTCATCCAGTGGCTAAACCTGGTGACCCAGTCACTTCTTCCTACACACTTGCAATACTAGAGTCTGTGGGGGACACTTGAGGTTCCCTGGGCTGGTGTTATAGGTGTTGTGAGCTGCCCAACGTGGGCTCTTGGAACTGAACTCTGCTCTCCACAAGAATAGCAAGTGCTTTTAGTCATTGAGCCAGCTGCCTTCCTAGCTGCTTAGCAGCTTTCTTTAATGGACCATGTTTTAGCGTATGACCAAAGATTAGAAGTTTATAATTTTAATAACTGTATTAGCTACTCGTCCATTG